TTCAGTATGTTCATTTCCTTTGTCCTGCAATCCCAACCCTTTTCTTCCCAAAGATTATTTAAAGAAAGGTTGAGGCAAAGAAACCTAGCTTTCCACACTCTTAACTTTTCTCCTACACGTCGTTTTTTCCTGTTATCGCCTTTAAAAACTCCACTCATCTCCCTATCTTCCCCATTGTCTGGATACTTAGCTCTCCCCCCCAACTCTCCATCCTGGGAGCTCTGCAGGTGCCATGGTTGTTCTTTGACCGAGTGCACATATCCCACAGTTCACCATCAGAGGACTGAGACCAAGCTTCTCAGCTACTACTGCCCTTCTCAAGCGTGACATGCCAGTGGCAACTTACTGCTAAGTATAAGAATTCCAGTTTGCAAGTGTTTTTCCTAAGGCATCTTTAATGCTTTCTTGGGTGGAAGAGAATGGCACTACAGCCTGGCTCCTGCTAGGAAACTGTGCAGGACCCCGCTTATCTGCACCACCCTCTGTGGAGTGCATTCTAGAACACGTAAATGTTATCTTTCTTTAGGCTTTTTCTTAGCAGGAAAAAGGCTAAATCTCCAACCAAAGACTGGGCAGATGTTGCTACTGAAGGCTGTTGTTTCTTGGGTTGGTTGGTTTGGCTGTGGGCAGCTGGCATGTACTTTCACTGAATGGTGTTAAAAAGTGAATCAACCCTGTGAAAAAGGCAGTTTTTCTAAGAGATCAGGTTTGTTTATCTGGTTTTGCTAGTTGTTTATTAACACAAGATGCCAAAAGATCATCCAGCAGGGTCTTTGTTAGCTGGGTATTACAGGGGCAAATCCCAAAAATGTGAATGGGAGAAGAGCTGGGAGAGTGAAGGAGCTCCTTGTGTGGCCGTTCGCATGCTGTCTTCTGAAGAGAATTAAAGTGACCCTGTAACCAAATGGTTTTCAGTGCTTTACCTGTGGTGTGGTTTGGCTGTTTCTAGTGTCTGTTTGTCATGCCCATTAGCTCAGAACTTCAGAATATAGTTTCCCAGGTGTCTTGGTAGTAGCTTCAGTTTTTCTTTTTCATCTGATGTTGGCAGTTTCTACATATTTTCTAATATTTAAAGTAAAATGAAGTTTGTACTCAAGCAGAAAGAATGCCATCTCTCAGGAGTAAACTAGTCCTAGATCCACACGGATTTCTCAGTTTAAAGACAAAACATTATGGGGATGAGTGGGAGGAAAGAGCATGCTTGTACCCCAAATGCGTGCGGTACAGTTACATTTCTGGACAAAATCCTACTGTGATATAGTCTAGAATTGTAGCTTTGTGGACCATTTTTGGTGTAAAGATAGCAAAAGCTATGTGTGGATTTCAAGAGTTCCCCTTGAGAATATGTAACTAGAAAAACAGTGGAAAATTAAGGCTCTGCCTGCACCAGTTTCTTTCGTATTTGGTACTTTGTCTCACTGGCTGTAAAGGTCAGTTTTTCTCGTAGCTCATTAGTAGCCCATGGTTCACTGAGCATACGTTGATGCTTAAGCTACAGTTCTGTATTTAAGGAATGTGTATAGTATGCAGGCTTTTTCAAAAAAATTTTCATTTAATGAACCTTTCTTATTAACTGTCAGAATTGTGGTTCCTGTAGCATTGAATCATAGAGCCTCTGTCATAGGATTCAGAGATAAACAAGAAGGAAGTTTAGGAAAATATAAAAGAGCCTAGTTCTGACATGCCTGGTCTATATAGTGAGTTCCAGGCCAACAAAGGCTACAGGGAAACCATGTCACAAGAGAGAGAGAGAGAGAGAGAGAGAGAGAGAGAGAGAGAAAGAGAAAGAATTAAAATTTACTCGATTTTTATGAACCTAATTTCTTGTTTTTATTTGTTGTGTACTGATTTTACTGCTGTTGGAAATGAAAAAAGTAATAAAACATGCCCACTTGTCAATCTAACAAATTAATTTGATAGCTACAAGGGGACTGTGCTGGATAGCTTTAGTGTCAACTTGACACACCTGGGTTGAGGGAGCCTCAATTGGGGAATTTCCTCTATTGGACTAGCCTGTGACCATGTCTGTGAGGCATTTTCTTGATTGTTGAGTGATGTGGGAGGGCCCAGCCCACTGTGGGTGGTGCCACCCCTGGGCAGGTGGGCCTGTGTTGCATAAGAAAGCAGGCTGAGCAGGGGCCAGGGGAGCAAATCAGTAAGCAGTGATCCTCCATGGCCTGTGCTCCAGCTCCTGCCTCCAGGTTCCCACCCTGAGTTCCTACCTTGGGCTCCCTGATGAACTGTGACCTGGGAGATGTAAACTGAATAAACCCTTTCCTCCCCAAGTTGGTACTGGTCAGAGTATTTTGTCACAGCAATGAAGAACAAACTAGGACAGGGACCATGTGTTATACTGCTTTAGAAATATGAATACAAATGTTTCCTCTATAGGTATTTAGTCTTTTTTTTAGATTTTAAAAATAAATTATTTCTACATATAGGCTTAAATATTCTTAGTAATGCTGTGAATATTGTCTCAGATTCTCTTATATTGTTCTTACTAGGAACTCAGACTTAAGCCCACATCTCTTGAGTCCACATCTCCCAAAAGTAAAGCTACTTCTTTTCTTATATAAGAGACTAATGCCTTATGACTGTCCCTTTGGGCTCCCCTCTCCGTGGTTCTACAGACACACAGCCACAGCACGGAACAGCAAGTTAGCCACGAGCAGCTTCAGGTGCCCTGCGTCTCTGCCTCTAAAGCAGGTTGAAGTCGACTCTAGACACAGACCAGAGTGAAGCTAGGGTGTTTCTCCACGATGCATTCCTAGGCCTCCAGTCTCTCCAATTCTTTCCCTTTCTTGGTCCTGACTTGATTCTGACTTGACCCTGTTTGAATGGAGGTGTGAGTAAAGCATGAAATGTGGAACACATGCACCTTTTGTAGAAGCAGATTCATACACAGTGCATTCTAGAACATAAGCACCATGAAGTTTGGGAGCCTATTTGTCTCATTCATGATATGCTAGGGGTTAGATAAGTATGCTCTGAAGAATGAATAGATGTAACTTTGTGACAAATAGAAATGGAGATGGAATATGGATGAGGACTTTAGGTTTTAGCTCTTCAAAAATTCCAGAGTAGGGTTTGAACAATGGAAAGAGTAGAATCTTGAAGTAGAAAGATTGGAGGGCAGATGTTTGTGTTTTCTTTTGCTTCCTCTGTGTGTGGAACAGCCTAGTAGAAGGTTTCACACTAGGAGAGTCTGTACCTAGGAATCCATTCATTCAGTCAGGAAATATTTGTATAACCTCTATATACTAGTGACGTGATTCTCAAATCTTTGTCCTCATGACTCCTTTACACAAAAATTGAGGGCTGGAGAGATGGCTCAGCGGTTAAGAGCACTGACTGCTCTTGCAGAGGACCCGGGTTTGATTCCCAGCACCTACATGGCAGCTACGAACCATCCTTAACTCCAGTTCCAGGGGAATCTGAAGCCCTCTTCTGACCTCTGCGGCATTGCACGACAAGGGTGCGCTCACATACATGCAGGCAATACACTCATACACATAAAATAAAAGTAATAAAATATTTTTTAAAACACAAAAATTGAAAGAGATTTTGCTTATATGGCCATAGCTGAAATGAACCATATTGGAGTTGAAATTGATAAAATTTTAATTAAACTGACTAAAGAATACTGGCAAGCTAGGCTTGGTAAAGCGGACTGTGATCCCAGCTACTCAGGATGATATTCCAAAAGGATTGCAAGTTCAAGGTGAGCCTGGCCTACAGGCCAGCCTAAACAAGTTAGTGAGATCCTTAGTGATCCTGTTTCAAAATAAAAATATAATAAAAAGAGGGCTTTTCATAACTCAGTGTTAGAATACTTGCTTAGCATGTATGAAGCTGTGTGTTCAGTGTCTAAATATGAAAAAGTATATAATGAGTCTATTATATGTTAATATAAATATCATTTTCATGAAAAATTATACTACCAAGGAAACAGTTCAGTGATGTATCACTGAACATTTCCGGGAGTCTCTTTGATGTGTGGCTTACCCAGAAGAGAAGAGAATTCTCTGCAAACAGCATACTGCATCCTGTTTGGTTAAAATATATGATGTACATGAAGAAAATCTGTCCGTCCACATACACGTTTGGACCCTCACAGACTCCATGAAAGGGCCCCAGGGACTCCCGGGGGTCTGCAGACCATATTGAGAACCACTGTGCTTAAGAGTAGTAGATGTGTTGTGGATTTTGTCAAATATTTATTAAAAAGCTTACCGTGGGCCAATAAATAAGAAAATAATGAATCTGGTAGGAATAAAGAATTGGAAGTTGAGACTGAGTTTGGAATTTCTTAGCAAGCTCATGCTGTGTACTTGGTTGCAGAGTTCAAAGGATGAGAGTTAGTGACACAGACTGTGGGGAGGAAGTGACGTGATACCGTAAGACCATCCTTGTTAAAGTGGACAGAGAAGAGTTAAGTATTAAGAAGTTTAAGCTATGAATGGTGTCACTTGCCCTTAGTTCCAGCACTCTAGAGGCAGAGTTTAAAGCCAGCCTCATCTACATAACAAGTTCCAGATTAGTCAGGGGCTACATGAGACCTTGTCTCAAAACAACAAAAATGAATGGGGGGGGGGGGGGCGCAGGAAGAAGGCCAAGCTAGAAGAAGCAGCTGGTACCTCAAAGAGAAAACAGAATGAGAAGATATTGATTATTGATATGTTGCTGGAGTGGGGGTGCTTAAGCAGAAAGGCAGTTTAGACTGGAGGCTTAGGGATTGAGGACTTCTGTCAGGAGAGAGGGGAGTGAAACTGGTAGGCTTGGGTTCCTGAACTCACCGTGCAGTCCTTCTGTGATTCCCTCAGGAGCATGTGAACCAGTCTGTAAAGATGTCTCCATGTGTATAACATCCCTCAGGCCATCTCTGTTACCTCCTCTAAGACTCTTCACAGGAGGAATAACGGACCAGATGCTCAGATGTGTGCAAGGCCTCTTTATGTTATGATACTTTGTTTCTGATCATTTTCTTTTTTCTTTTTCAGACCATCCAGACCTTTCAAGTTACCAAAAAGGTAGAGTAATTTGAATTATCCTCTTCAGTTAAAAGCTTCTCTGCATATGATTTCCCTTCTACTGTTTCCCCACATTTTGCTGCTCTTTACACCTTCTTCATATATATATATATATATTTTTTTTTTAGTTAATTATTTTTATTTTATGTGCCTGGATATATTACCTGCATGTATGTAAGTGCACCTGTGTCATACAATACCCACAGAGATCAGAAGAGGATGTAGAGTCCCCTGGAACTGGAGTTACAGACAGTTGTTAGCCACCATGTGGGTGCTGGGAATCAAACCAGGGTCCTCTGCAAGAGCAGCCAGTACTCTAACCACTTAGCCATCTCTCCAGCCCCTTCCTTCATAATCTTATGAAGGAAGAATACATTTCCTCCTCAGTTGACTGCTTGTAGAACCCTTCTCTCCAGAAGTGGGTTTGAATCTTTCAGACTTTCTTCCCTTTCTGTTCTATCAGTCTCTTCGTTTATGTTTGTCTAGCTGTTTTGCATTTCCTTCTATGTAAATTGGTGTCTTGTTACCCCTTTTAAAAAACTGAGTCACAGGAAGCTCCTTTATCTTATTGAGTAACTGGTACCTACCTTTCTGCCAGTTACAATGACTTGAGTATATGGCTGTTTATTTTAAATGAATTAGCCTTTTTTCTGCCCCTCAAAATTGTAACTATATTAATATGGGGGTGTTCTTCTATGTGGAAAATTAAATATAAGAATTTCTGAAAACAAAGACACTGTCATTTGCTCTCAGACATTGTAGTTCCAGGCATAGTGTCCTTATGTTTAAGAAACTTTGAGTGACCATAAAATTCAGTTTCCAAAGAAGTTCAAATGGTAAAAATTAAGATCTGTCTCAGAAGACTATTCATCTATTTAGAATAAAATGACTATATAAATTTTAATTAGCAAACTCTCCTAATTACAATGCTTTTAAAATTTTTGATAAAGTACAATATATAAATTACTTTCTAACTTTGTGTATATGCAATACTAGAACTTGAACCCAGGGCCTAGCATGTGCTAAGCGTGTGCTCTAGGAACTGAGAGCAGCCCCTGCATTTTAAAATCCATTGGGGGAAGTGGGGGCGAGGGGTAGGTGTGCACATTCATGTGTAGGTGCGCATGCCTTGTGTGCATGGTGTGGAGGCTAGTATCTTCATCTCCCACCTTGTTTTTGAGGCAGGGCCTCTCCAGCAACCTGGAACTTGCTGTTTCAGCTAGGTTGGCTGGCAAGTAAGTCCCCAGGATCCACCTGACTCTGCCCACAGTGCCTGGCTTTCTACATGGGTTCTGGGGATCTGAACTCAGGTCTTCATGCATGCATAGCAAGTACTTTACTCATGGAGCCATCTTCCCAACCCCAGTTTCAGTCATTCTTAAGAGTACCATCCTGCAGCATTATGCATTATGGTAAAACGGAAACCCATTGAATAGTAATTTTGTCCCCATTTCCTTTTGCCACAGCCCTGGCAAACACCATTCTGCCTTTTTGTCTCTATAAATTTGACCACCTCATGTGAGTAGAATCAGGTAGTTTTTGTCCATTGTGACTGACTTCATTCCATTTAGCATAATGCCCTCCAGGTTCATACATATTATAGTATGTCATAAATTCCTTACTTTTCAAGACCCAATAATATTCTGTTGCACTGTGTGTGGATACCATATTTTATCTAGTTCTTCCATTTTGGCCCTCTTCTTGTGGGGGGAAAAAATAGGAAAAGATAGAGAAAAAATATACAAGTAAACGTGCCATAATAAGAAAAAGGATTTCACTTTTCTAGAAATAATAATTATTATTATTTCTCAGCTGAGAAAATTTACATTTTGAAGAGAGTCAAATTTTCTTATGTTACTAAGTTGATTTTTCTAAGTCTTAATATGTCCTTATTAGTATATATCTGCCTATAAATACAACTTGTTTAGAAAGCCTTTCCTGATTCCCCTTTCCCAACTCACCTGGAAATGATTTTTCTCTTGTTGCCCAAATATTTTTTCTTTTCTTGTAAAAACACATTTTCGCCTCCTTTTGTACCTATCTGTGCCTCTCTGATTGTATCTGATTTTCTGTATTTGACCGTAAGTTCCTTGAGTGCAAGATCTGTGCCTGCTAATCTTTGTGTTCCCAAAATGCCTTGCATCCTTACTGTTTGATGCTGATTGTTAGATGAATTTATTACCTCACATAGAAGAGTTGTTTCTCTCTCTCTCTCTCTCTCTATGTGTGTGTGTGTGTGTGTGTGTGTGTGTGTGTAAATTTTTTTTCAGATTTAAGTCATTCTTCTCATTGGGTTGATAGTTGATGCCACTGGAAACATTGTGATTAGTAACAAACATTTTGAAATGCCTTTAAGGGACAAGAGGAGTTGGGAAGAGGGAGAAAGGAAGAGAAAGCAAGCTAAAGATCTTAAAATTTGCTCAAGTTAGGAAGGTAGAAACCAAGACCAGTCAGTTAGTTGGTTTGGACAATGCTGAGGAGTCTGGAGAACAAAGGCAGGCCACAAGGAGTTACAGCTTGGATGGTTGGTCAGAAAAAGACCCATACCCCTGACAGTCATGGTTTTCTGCACAGAGAGGGAGAAAGTTTCTGGAGAGACTACAAAAAGTAAGCTAAGAGGAGCAAATAATTTATTGTGAGCCTTCCTGTAATGTCAATGACCAGTGTAAAGCACGCCCTTATTTAATGTCACTTGAGTATAAGGTGATAAGACACTCAGTTTACTTAACAGTTCTTTCAGGTCTGTTTCCAGAGTAAGCCTGGCAATAAGGTTGAGAACCTGTGAGTGTACGTGAGGGACTTCCTGTTGGATACCAGTCTAACACAGCAGTACCATCCTAAGCCAGGGAGCCAGGCAGCCTGCCCAGTCACTCAGAGGCATGGTGCACCTTTGGGCACATTTAAGACCCCCTGCACCTTGTGCTTCATTCTGAAGGGGATTTGAGAGAGCCAACTGAAAAGACAGTAGAGCTGGGTAGAGCTGCACCCAGCCCTTCCCCCGAAGTCACACCCTGCTTAATCCAGGTGTGACAGGGGAGAGCTATGTTTATAGTTACAGTGTTCTTATCTAAACATCTCCCAATTAGAGCAGATGAGTGCAAGGTAGGAGTTAGCTAATGTACAGAGCAGCCTACTGTGAAAGGAACAGTCCTTTTGAAAATTGTTCTCATGCACATGTGGTTCATTTTGGAAAAAAAAATGTTTACATACTCTTGCTCAGAAGTGAAATTTTTTCTATGTGTGCATACATACACATTGTATTATATATGATTTCTACATCATTTAAATTTCCTTTGCTTTTCCCAGTTTACAGATTTTTTTTAAATGTTGATGTTATAACCATTGCCTGGGTTTCATGTTGTAATGAAGCTTTTGTTTTCCTTGTAGCACCCATAGCAGTACTGTAGCTTGGCCTAGATAGCGAAAGGGGCAGAGCTGCTGTCCACAGCAGTGCATGGTGTTCAGGAGGAGCACTGTCTGCATGGCTGGGCATCGCCCCACAGCGCTGAATGTGCTCAGGATGGCAGTACCATTTCTCCAGTGTGAATGCTTGTCTCTAGGAGAGGCCAGTGCACGAACCATCTGCTCTGTGAAGAAGTGGAAGTATAACATAGTGAGGTTAATGTGTGTGGAAGAAATGTGCTAAAGTCCTAACCATAAAGCTTCCACATGTGGCCCATGCTTGTACATGGTGGGCAACAGGGCTGTGAAATCAAAACCACCTGTTTTCAAAGGGGGAAGAAAGCAGCTATCGAAGAAGTTTTTAAAGTTTCTCTGTACGTATATGCAGGTATTTCAAGAACAAAAGCAAAGTTATTCTTTGATAAATTAAACCACAGTATAAAAGTTAGGCAGTATGAGGCCTGCTGCCCTCTATTGATAACATGTTTGTAGGTAAAAAAACAACTGGCACATTTGAAAGAAAACGGATCCATTTAAAATAAAGTGTAATGAATAAATGTAAGAGCCTGGAGCCTTTTTCATTTCACAGGGCTGATATTTCAAAGGTCTAGTGTGTAATAAACAGAAAGTCTCAAAAGCACTATTCAGACAAAAGGCATTGCTGCAGACCCAGTGGCTTTTGTCTTAGTTTGCATTTGATGGAGGAGAGAAAGTGGGAAGAGTGTGCCTGCATTGGGCTTCTGGCCACTCAGTACAGGCATTTGAACAGTCACAGACAGTACATTGGGATTTTACGTGTTTTCATTGCATCCACAATTATGCTTACCTCGCAGATTTTCCCTCAATAACTTTTTAAATCCAGAAAGTGCAGTCAGATAAGTAATGTTGCAACTTGGCATTACTTGGGCCTGTGTGCTTTTTTAGAGAGAAATTAACTCTTAATGGGACTGGGAGTTTAAATGTGAATTTGATGAAGCAAAATTTGCCAAGTTTACTTTTTCCTGATATCTTTAGTTTCTCTTGTGTTTGAAAAGAGACATGAAAACACAGTGGTTAAAAAGTCAAACTCTAGACCTAAGGTACTTAAGGTTCCCTAAGGTTTTGTGATTGAATGAACTCCTCAGCCTGTCTTTGTTGCAGTTTCACCTCTAAGGTGGATCTAAGAATGAGTAAGCTAGTGGGGTGTGTTGGTGTATGCCTTTAATCCCAGCACTGGGAGGCAGAGGCAGAAGCAGAGGCAGGCAGATCTCTTTGAGATTAAGGCCAGCCTGGTAGCATAGTGAGTTCCAGGCCAGCTGGGGCTACAGGGACACCCTGTCTCAAAAAGCAACAAAACAAAAGAAAACAAAGCAAAAAGAATGAGTAAAATGATACTCGGGTGAGGCGGGAGGGTCACTAGTACTCCCGTTAGTACAAACTATTATTTATTTTCCTAAAGTTATTTTAAAAGATCACCTCTGGAAAATGCCAGTACAAGTCCCTTAGGTGTAGTTATGTTATATTTTAATTCCTTTATCAGAGTGGTAATTTGAAGTAAATAAACCCACAAAGTCAGATCTGTTAAGAAAACAGAATATAAAAAACAACAATCGGTCTTAGAGATCGGAAAGCTATACAGCAATATTTTCTAGGCATTTAAAGTCTCCAGTATTGCAAGCATGATCTTGAAAAAATACTTCATAAACATAAACTTCAGAAGCCCATTTCATATGAACAAGAACTAGCCATCACTTAGCCAAATGAGCTAGCATTGTTGAGAATTTGAGAGTAGTGGTCACACGTTAAATGTTGAGTTTTTCTTCTAATTACGATTAAGAACCTGGAAGCTTACTGGATACACTTTGAAGCTTAGAAAAAGTTCACTTTAAGTAGCTTCTGGTTGGCACTCAGTTCATATTAAGACCTAGAAGTGTCGGGATGATAAAGCATGGCCCGGGAAGGGCTACAGAAATGGTTCTTATACTCAGAGATGGTATGGAAGGGTATCTGAAGAAAAAGCCAGTGAAAGGACTGGTGATGGAGGAAGGCTGTGAAGTGTCAGAGAGCCTGAAGGCAGCCTTTGGTGGCTGGAGAGGGCAAGGTGGTGGGAGCCTGGCCAGCGTTCATTAGTTGGTACTCACTGGCCCTTCTGTGAGATACTGCCCTAGGCACCAACACGGCACTAAACAGAGCAAACATCTCTGCCCTCGTGGAACTCAGTCTGATGATAGTATTCGTTGTTTTTTTTTTCCTAGAAGGAAAGATGATAGGCTATGGGAAGTGTTTGATTTGCTTGTTTTTCAGATTTATACTGCATGAACCTGTTTATAGACTGATTTCTTTTTTAAGGACTGATGGTTTGAAGGTATAGAGAAAGAATAATGACAGAAACAAAAGTTCTAGGAGATACTTCAAGGAGGATGGGTGGCTCCTGTTAACTTTTTTTTCTTTTTACCTATAAAGTGTGGCTTTTCACTCTCTCCCTCTCAGACATAGGTAGAGATATGAACTGTTATTTGTCATATACCGACAGTATACTGGCACAGTGGCCTGTGATGTGTCACTGCTACTTAATCAGAAAAATAAAAGGATAATGATCTCATTTTCTGCCTCAATTACATATAAATAATAAAAATCCCATTGGTAGGTACCTATACTAGATCTAAAATATGAGAACCTAACACCTTGCTCTCGTGGTCACAAAGATCCTCCACACTGCCTCTCAGAGGTCACTTTGTGCTTGCCTTGTATCTTGTAGTTATGCAGCCCTGCTAGCAGACTGGCCGGTGGTGGTGCTGGGCATGTGCACTCTGCTCATCGTGGTCTGTGCCCTGGTGGGCGTGTTAGTGCCAGAGCTTCCTGACTTCTCGGATCCACTTCTGGTAAGGAGAACTTGGCTCATCTTCAGCCTGAAATCATCTCCATGGATTAAGTACTTAACATACATGTTGCATCCCATTAGTAATTCTTTTCTTCTTTGTTTTTGAGATGGGGGTCTTAAACTGTAGGCCCAGGCTAGCCTTGAACTTGTCATTCTCCTGCTTCAGCCCCGTGAGTGCTGGGATTGTAGGTGTGAGCCACCATACCCAGCCCCCCATTTCTTTTAAAACCTACTTCAGCCACTAGTAAATATTTAACTCTCTTTTTGAAAGTAGATGTTCTTAGGTAAAGTCAAGGAACTTGCTAACTCTAAGTATTGGGAAATACTGCCTCTCTGTCTCCATGTTTAAAACAAGAAGCAACACTGAAGAATCTACCTACTATGGAAATATTTTCATACAGACTTATACACTGTATCTCTTTCCCCTCCTCTCTAGAGAAGTTAAAGAAATTTCATTGTAACTAACAGATAACAGGATCTGTTTTAAAGTAAATGTTCCTCTGGAGTGGAATAGTAAGAAAAATATGATCGATCATGTGCACTCTTTGTAAAAACGGTAACTGTGTAACATAATTTATTCTGACCATAATTTTTACAAGGTAGAATTAATTATGTATTAAATGCTTAGGCAGTTTAGTATCTAATAGACTTTTCCCCCCATTTCCTGAGACATGAAACCAAAGAATTAAGCTACTTTGTCACAGTGTGAGGTGATCATGTCAGGGCAACTCATGTGAACAAAGGTCACCTCAGCAGTCACTGTGACCAACGTCCGGGTTTCTTGTTGAAAACTACATATCACTGTGATACTGCGTTCCTAAGTTGTTAATATAATTGTATTTAATGCAAAATAAAATACACTAATGGGAACTTGTAATATTTTGCTTTAGGGTTTTGAACCAAGAGGGACTGTAATAGGCCAGAGACTGGTCACATGGAACAACATGGTGAAAAATACAGGATACAAGGCAACACTGGCAAATTACCCTTTTAAATATGCAGATGAACAAGCCAAAAGGTGATCACTTGTTTTGTATTACTTTTAGATAAAATACTACTTAATGGGTCCTTTATTACCTGAGCAAAAAGGCTAAGTGTAAGATATGAGGCTCATGGGGCTGGAGAGATGGCTCAGCAGTTAAGAACACTGGCTGTTCTTGCAGAAGATCCAGGTTCGAATCCCAGCACCCACATGGCAGCTAACAACTGTCCATAACTCCAGTTCCAGGGGATCCGACAGCCTCTTCTGTCCTCCTCTGGGTAAGGAAGATGCTGGAGAATATGAATGCTGTGCGTCCAATTCCCAAGGACAGGCTTCAGCATCAGCCAAAATTACAGTGGTTGATACCTTACATGAAATACCAGTGAAAGAAGGTGAAAGTGCTCAGATATAAACCTGCAGAATACATTAGTCTATGTAGCCAAAAGTGCTCACAGATGATGACCCCTAATCTTGCCTAACAAATTTCTTTCAATCTAATCCACTAACACCTTAGTTATAGTGAACTGGTTTTACACAGAAAAATCAAAGATAACATATCAAGACTGTCTACAAAAATTTATTGTTTATTTACAAAAAAGCATGCATATCTTTAAACAAATAAAAAGCTTATCACAAAAAAAAATGAGGCTCAGATCTTTTGCCAGTAAGTTTAACTTGTGATTAAAAAGATTTTGCTGAACTATGATGAAAAGATGTTTTTTCTTCTTTTCAAGTAGAAAAATTAATATTGGTTGCATACATGAATCCTTCCAGCTTGGTATCCAAAGCTAAATAGGTTGGGCTCTGCGTATCTCCTTGAAATAGCTAAAACTTCATCAGACGTTGTTTCATTTCAGCCATCGGGAGGATAGGTGGTCAGATGATCATTATGAGAGAGAGAAAAGAGAAGTGGACTGGAACTTCCACAAAGACAGCTTCTTCTGCGATGTTCCAAGTGAGTAGCCCGAGTGAGGGCAGATGTGAATGTGGACCGTGCCTGCAGCAGCTTCCTAGCTGGCCAGGGAGAAGTCCATTGAGGTCTAAAAATGTGGCCAGAGACGCAGCTTCCCTGTATCTATCAGAGATTTTAGCTAAATAACTGATTTTACTTCTAGGTTTGTCAGCCACTAGGCTGAATTTACCTGCAATAAAAATTAAGAAAAAAGTGATTGAGTTATATTGAACTTTAAGGAAGAGATCAATAAAATTTTCAACCTTGTCTGAAGTTTTAAGGCATAGTCAAATTCTTTTTACTATTTATTTCTAGATCAAGTAACAAGTAAATATTTTTGGATTGAACCATGGAGTAATCTATTTTACAAAATACTTTATAGCTTTGTTTAAATGAAAACAAGTGTATATTAAGAACTGTCTATGTTCTGGGCATGGTGACCCAGTCCTGTAGTCCCAGCTACTCTGAGGACTGAGGCAGGAGAATTGCTTGAATCCAGCAGTTGGGGCTATAGTGCCCTATGTTGCTCATGTGTGTCCAATGCCAATGTTGATTACGTGTCCACACGAAGTTTAGCAATCACTATGATGACATCCTGGGAGCAAGGGACTACCAGGTTGCCTGAGGAGGAGTGAACTGGCCTAGATAGAAAAAGAACCATCTTTGTGCCTGTTTCATCACTTAACAGTAGAGCCAGAGAGCTGAATGAAGTGTGATGCAGAGGTCTAGAGCTCAAGGTTCTCAGACCTGATGTGAGTATGTCAGTCTGGCTGGGAAGAACTTGTGGATCGGTGGTAGGTGTGGGAGCCTAAGAGCAGCTGTCCTGTCTGAGGAAACCAGCTGCTGCTTAGCACATTGCAAGAACTTCCTGTAAGTCAGGAATCCAAATTTTAATGTGGAGCCACAGATTTCTAAATGTTGGCAGCAGACTCACTAGAGAAAATCCAGTGAAATATAAAGTCACCTTGTTACCTTGCAGGAAGATAGGAACGGGCGCATCAAGGAACTACAGATCAGGCTTGTTAGACACTGACCAGCCAGAGTTACTAGGAATGAGGAGTTGAGGATAATTAGAGTTTCTCATGAACAAATGTTTATGTTAAAGTCCTCTTCAATGTGTATTCCCTGTCTTATTAGATTCCAGAGGATCTAATAAGATCTCTGCTTGAATCTTTGATGTTTTAGATAGAGGAAGAGAAGGAGGTTAAAATCTTACACTGATCTAGGAAGCAATACAAGTTGAAACATTTCCTATCTCTTGAAACATATTAGAAAATTTTAAATTCTGATTATTTCTTTGTTCTATGTTTTTCCCTATCAACGTATTGCTGTACATCGTTGCTTAATCATCTCTTGTTAATGTCTTAAACAGTAAGAACATTAGCAAATTCAGGAAGTAAAATCTGGTTATTATCTCAGTAGTCCACACTGTGTTTCTGTCTCCTAAGCAGTAAGTTCTGGCTTGACTGAAGCCTTTTATGGGCTCCATGTGAATGAAATGCTTGTCTCCACAGGGCTGATTTTGTACCCCAAACCAATCTACATAAGATAATACCTATCATGAATAAAACCATTTGTAATAAAAAATTTTTATAAATTTACCGATTAATTTTGTTAGTGCAATTAGGCATTTTTTAGATAAGAAAGGTAGATAAAATTAGTCTACTTTGTTTTATTTGCTACATGTTAGATTTTTTTTTTTTTAATAGCTGAGATAGGCGCAGTCTTACGGAACACCTGTTTCTCATTTCATTCTCACGGCTATTTGAGGTTGGTGTTATCACCATTTTACAAATGAGGAAGTAGGATTCTGAGAAGTTCAAAGTTGATTTCATATGGTCACATGGGTGGTCAGTGGCAGGGCTGGGTATAGCCAGATCTGATGCAAAGACCATGCCCCTCCCAGTGCATCACACCACCTTATTGAGAGACCGTTGATACTGTCTAATTTCAAACTTTTTCTAGACCCTGGTGTCGTATAGAAGCCCTGTGCTCAGTCAGAATACACAGGGCATCTGTGATGCTGGCCTGTGATTCAGCCCTTCGGCATTTAAATGGACTCTGTCATTATTGCTTTTAAATTAGCCACTTGCCATCTTAGCAGCCAGGGAAACTTATCTTTATGATCCCTTGTCGATATTCTCTAGTGCATCACTCTTGTGTCTCACATGCTATTATGGTGGTACGAAATTAAGAGAGAGGCATTCAGTTAATTTTCTGCTGAAAGTTCTTATGGATTTTTCTTCCTAATTATACTCAGATCAAAAATAGATTTGCTACATACTTACAATTTTCAGATGTAGTGAATGGGTAGACAGGCTTGGAGCTAAAGCAGTACTAAGGCATTGCTACGTTTCTCTCTCTCTCTCTCTCTCTCTCTCTCTCTCTCTCTCTCTTTCTTTCTCTCTCTCCCCCTCTCCCCCTCTCCCGCTCCTTCTCCCTCCTTCCCTCCCTCTCCTGGAATTTATCAAAAGAAAAGATTCCCTGGTGCTAATCGATTGTTTCTGTGATTTCATATTTGAATTATTTCTGAATTCTGACTCCAGATAAATGAATAATTTACGAGCATCTTTCCTTTTTTCTCATCTTACCAGGTGACCGATACTCCAGAGTAGTGTTTGCATCCGCGGGAGGGGAGACACTGTGGAATTTACCTGCAATTAAGTCAATGTGTGATGTGGATAATTCCAGGGTATGTAAACTATAGCTGAATTCTGTTCAGCAAAAATAATGTTACGGAAACTTCTACTGCTGCCCTAGTGTCTGACCAGATGAGAGGCTTTCCTGCCTATTGAGGAGCAAGCACCAGCAGGCCAGCTTTGCAGTCTGGATCCCAGGATCAAAGTATGCCTGTTTCCTCATCTGTGAAACGTGCTGTCTTCCTCAATAAAGAACTATTTTTCCTTTGTCACTCACGTTCTCTCACCATGATGGTCTTCTGAATTTCACAGAAATTTTTTAGGACAGTTGTTAAGACTGTTTCTTCTTTTATTGTATTTTCCTCCTCTCCTAGTTTCACTGTTCTCTACGTTTCCCTCCTGAAGCAGTTGTCAGCATTGTAATTATGCAATTAAAGGCCTGCCATTATGGCACTCAATGGTCATTCTGGCCAGTGATCTCAAAGGAATTCAGGAAGCAGGCTTGGGAAGGGGACATCAAAGGTGTAATGCAGTGTCTGTGTCAGTGGCCCCAGTAATCCAATCCAGACTGCTCCAGTCTCTAAACACCTTGATGCTTTAAAGACACTGGAATTCAAGAGGACAAGCATGTCCTGCCAGACTTCCCCAGAGTCTCACGGATGTCAGCTCCAGAACACATGAAGTCAGCCTGAGTTTAGAGGGGCTATCAGTTTCAGTAGGCAGAAACTGCTCTCTGGTACCATTACTGGACCCGTCCAAGAATAGTAACCAGTTAGAAAACTTAAGTTCTTAGCATGACTTTAAAATATAAAATCACTGGTTCGTCAACCATCCAGTCATCTGCCCTGCCAAGAACTAGTCAGACAGCCCAACTCCCAACTCCAGCTCTGTCAGTGGGGCTTCTTAATGAAATGGGAGATAGAAAGAACTTACAAGAATCCCCTAGACCAGCAGTGCTGATATGAGACCCTTCCAAGAGCTCAGCAGCTCATGGCTCTGTAAGTGTGTTGGTCCCAGCTTCCCAGCTTTACTCCTTTTGGAGAGGCTGTTACATACCGTGTGAATGACTTTGCCGTGTTTTCTATCTGTGCCACCTTTTAACTCCAAACAGACCAAACCCACAATCTATAAAGAGATGAAAGTTTCTTAGTCTTATCTGCCATATTTTCTTCTTTTCAATGGCCTGCTTTACCTGGAAGCTGTAATGTATTTCTCAGAGTATGTGACACCTCTTATTTAGAAAGGTAATTCTAAAGTAGTAAGTATAGTGACAGTATGTGCAAGACTTTGTGCTAAGTTCTTATAAATGAGTCCCTGTGGGTCTGTAGCTTGGGGATTCATAGTATCTCTCAACAGAAGAGGAGAGAGGCTTGGAAGGGTAATGCCAGTGTGGTTACTTCGCTTCACAGCTTGGACACTGAATTTGGATACCTTTTACTCCTCAGTGTTGTATGTGTGGTTGATCTTCAGAACTCGCCTTCCCTAGAGACTCTGATGTGATCATTATAGAACACTCACTATGTGCAGTCTAAACATTTTAACAAGTTACATAATCCCCACAAGAGTGTATGAGCTCATTACCCTTCTTTGTCTATTTTATGGATGGAGAAATTTCACATAGGCAGTAAGTAATAGATACAGGATTTGAACCCAACCAGGTCTGGTCTGCCTCAAGAGCCTGCTCTCACCCATTGTGCCTTGTGCTTCCATAATGAAGGGTATGCCCCTGCTCTGTTTTTCTTTTGTTTTGCTATATATGTTGTTGCTCACCCAAATGTTCCTTAAGGGGTCAACATGGCCAAGAATAAATACCGGTTGATAGCAGTCCATCCTCTTAGTATGTGTTAGACTCTGAATTGGCCCAAAGACCTAAAAGCCAGTAAGCAATACTGTGCCATGATAGCTTTCAGCAATGAAGACAGCATATTGTTTCACCTGTCCATATCCATGTATCAAATGATGCTTGTGAGGCAACTTAAAAAGGCATGCAGAAAGAGGAGAGGAAGAAACAAAAGTATCTGAAGCAGACTAATGGGAAGAAAGTAAAAGTAAGGATGGTATTTAGCACACAGGGGTTCATCTCCATAGTTCTCTGCAAACTGTCAGTGACCTCCAACAGCCAGACAGTAAAACAGAATTTTATTTCACTGGTCAAAGTCACCAATAGGGGTAAATTAGGAGAGTAACAAGTATATATTTTAGAAACCCAGCTTTTCCTAATGCTGAGGAAGAAACCATGTCCTTCATACTCTTTTTGGGGGTGAGGGAGTACACATTCATGTGTGTGCATGTGCATTCACATGTGTGCATGTACGTTCGTGTGTTTGCATATGGGGCAGAGGATATCCTTCCTCAGGCACTGTCCACTTTCTTTTTTATTTGAAACAGAGTCTCTCACTGACCTGGAACCTGCCAAGTCGGCTAGCTGGCTGGCCAGTGTGCCTCAGGGATCCACATGACTCCATCTACCCCCAGCACTGGAATTATAAGCACATAGCTTTTTTTAAAAAAAAATGAGTTCTGGGAAGCAAACTCAGGTCTTCATGTTTATGCAATAAGTACTTCACAGTGAGGCCATCTCTCCTACTCGCGATAAAAGAAATGGATAAAGTGTGTATGTGTGTGTGTGTGTGTGTGTGTGTGTGTCTGTGTGTGTGTGTGTCTGTGCTTGGGTATACATGCCATGGTGCACATGTAGAGGTCAGAGGACAACTTTTGGTGGCGAGCACCTTTACCCACTGAACCATCTCACAACATGCTTATAAAGTGAGAATTTGTGGAATAGACCCAAGATACCTGTCTGAATAAACAATTGGTATGACCAGTTGCAGATTCACATTAACAAATGAATAAATAAACAATACCCCAAAAATCTGCTTCAAGAAGTGTGGTTATAATTTTAACTTTTAAATTAACACTTTTTAAAAAAAATCAGTTGCAAATGCCTTTGTAGTCTGGTCTCAAATTCTACTATGAACCCAATGATATGTCCATCTAATAGCTTTGATAGTAACATGGGTCAACAACTCGGCTTCGAGATTACTGCTTAACTTTTTCCAGTCTCCCAGTACAAGCTGCTTTGGGGATTTTTATTCATTGTGATGCTTGAACAGACAGTGTTCTGACTCCTTGGCCTGCCCTTCCCACCCGTTCAGTCCTTGTTATTGTATTTAAGCACTTGGTTATTAACACCTCTCAAGTTAATGGGAGTCAACAAGATGATACAGAACAGAAGAGCATAGCTGTCAGTGGTTGACTCTGGTGCTCAGTGCAGCATCTCAGCGAGACCTGTGTTTAGACTCCAGATTCCATTTAAATTGTATGTCCCTTCTGCTCATAACTCAGGGAGGCTAAGACTTCTCGAGCGAGTGGCTCTGTTTCTGATGTTCATTTCATAGGCTCCACAGGAGCCTCAGTCGAATCTCCGGACCCTCATTCCTTGTTCTACCCTAATGGACACTGGCTGACAGGCATTTGTAGCCAGAAGAGTTTCTCTGCTCTTGGCTGCACTGGATGGTGCTTACCCTTATCAGTCTCTACACATTGTAGACATTGGAGTTTTAGGACTCAGCTTGTAAAAAAGAATTTGAAATTTGGTGTCTGAGACACTGGCTTACTAGAGTGACTTTTGTGGACCGCCAGCATCCCCTGGAAGCTTAGCTCAGAAATACATTTCCCGACTCTTATTTCAAGGAGTCTTTGCCGTCACTCCCCTCTAAACTCCCTTCAACTTCACTACATGGGAGCTTGGGGACAGGGGAGGAAGAGTCCTGAAGTGAGTTGAACGTGCCATTAAGAGCTTAATTTTCTTCTTTTTATTCTTTTCTCAGCTTCTTAAAATATCTCCAGCCAAGCCAGTAGTTTTCAAAATTAAGGTATCATTTGAAACTGCTGGTTTCTCCTTACTCTCTCTCCTCTCCCTTTATCCCCTATTTTAAGCTGGCTCTGCCCCTGCTGCTGTCTAATTTGGGAAGTGTGCAAATATATGTTACAACCACATGAGCAAAATGATTCCCCAGGATCCAGTTTGTGAATAACTAGAATTAGAGGGGCTGGACTTTTCATCAGGGATTTGTTTTCATAAGCTCTATAGGATTTTCACGAACTTCTAAGATTTTGGAATTATTCCAAAGAATCCTTTTCCAAAAATATGACAAAATGCCACTGCCTCCTGTGTGAGGAAGACCTGCTTGCCCATCTTCTTCAGCCTCACGCTGTAATATGCATCTGTATTTATCAGAGTCAGCAGTGACTAGTTACTGCCACTGTCGTGCCACACAATGCACTACTTATTACATTGAATTATGATTGTGTTTTTGTCTGATTTCCCTACCACCCTAGAGGAAGCTGAGAACAAGGACCACAGTGCAGGACTCATCTTGTGCAGGTGCTCAGAAGGTGTCATTTTTGAATGGAAGGACAGAGAGGAACATAGGGTCTTACTCCCTGGAAGCATAGACAAGTCCCTTGAGCTCCTGTCCCTTCCATTCAAGATGCTGGTATCAGACTCAGGGTTGTTAGAGAATGCCAATCATAATGTCTTTTTCTGTGATCTCATTTCTATATAAGTCCTCAAAAGCAGGTTTTCCAAGTATTGTGATCAGTCAACGCCACTGTTTTTGAGGGCAAACTAGTATTTAATCATAGTCATCAAAATAGTAGTTGGTCTGTGTTTGTAATGTCCAACTTTTTAATCTTTGATCAGATATACATATAAGGCCCCAATGTTACTAGAAAAGGGCTGTTCAAGGACAGAGTTCTGTGTTTTCTCTCCAGGCAGCCGTAGTTCCCTTAGCTTTACCATTTGGGGCATTCAGCAGCTGCACATGTGTACCTTCTAGCTAGGCTTGCCTGTAATTCCTTCTCAAGGGAACTCTATCGGCCATGAAAACGAGAGATGCTCTTGAAGGATTCCATTCCTTACTAGATTGTTCCATTTGTCTCAAGTTAGCTTGTATGAGTTATTTTACCTGGAAACAAATATGAGTTAGGTTTTATGAAATGTTGATTATGCTTTTTCAGAAATAAGCTTAAAAATGAAGTTTTTGTAAAAGTGAAGATTGTTTTAATGTGTTTTAGATAATAAACTTTTGGCTCATTTTTCTTTATTCCCATAAGAATTATTTAAAACAGCTTTTCATTAAGAAATTTTAAAACATACACAAAAGTAGAAAAAAATACTAGACTGACTCTGCATGCAGCCTGCACAACAGAAGCTCCCAGCCCACAGCCACCTGTTCCATACACTTCACCCTACACATTGGTTCCAGTTTACCCAGGGTTTAGGGAATCATAAGTCACTTAGTTCTTAGATAAGCCTGGCTTCTAAAAAGATGGTTTATGCCAACCAATTTCTTTATGTTAGGAAGATATTTTAATGAACAGTTGACAAAGCCTAGTTTGGTCAAGGTCCAGGGTATTTTTAATCATGCCAGATAAACTATTCACACCCTTCTTGAACTTTGGAGTACTTCTCTAGAACAGCCTTTGGTAAATAAAGATGAGGGAAAGTGATACGATTGGGCATCCTTAAGCCTTTGGTCAGGCTCAGGAGAAGGGGCTGGTTCTTATTCTCATGCTCAGGGAAGGGAGGCCTGCTCATCTAACTTAAGAGTGGACTTGTGCCAACTTCCCCATAATCTAGCAGTGCCAGTAATGGGAGAGCTTGCCAGTTCCCTGAGGCAAGACAACTGTAAGAGGAGAAGACTTCCCCAGGGGCAGGATTCTAAATGAAATGCTGTCCACACCAAGTCCAGAGCTGTCATAGTTCCTAACAGGCATCAGTCTGCCATTACCAAAAGAGAAAAGTTCCCCAAAAAGGGCTTTTGCCAACTTAAATAAACTTTTAAGGATATAGAAGAAATAAACTTCTCCTTAAGTGTTTTTATTGATATATTAAGATTACATATAAAAAATATTTTAATCTTAAAGTACTCTTTCTACTCTTATTTCAGAAATCCATTTTAGTCTAAATCTTTCATAAATCCAGAATCACTTTTTTATTTACCAGACATTTTGCTTCTTAGTCGGTTCAGACTGCAGTAACAAAGTACCTTAGAATTCATAATGTATAAGCAATTTATTTCTTATAGTTCTAAAAACTAGGAAGTTTTAAATTAAAGGTCTTGCAGATTCAGGGTCCACAGAGGCTCTGCTCTGCAAAATGGGGCCTTCTGTGTATCCTGATCCAGCACCAAACTCCCAGGAACCACTTGTAGAAGGACACTAATCCCATTGAGCACCTCCCAGAAGGCATTGCCTCTTGGGACTGTCTGTCATGTTGAGGTTTCTAACGTACAAATCTGGGAAGTGTGAACATTCAGGCCATTGGTGTTTTGGGGAACAGCAGCTTTGCTTTCAGCCATTGTTTATTGGGATTCAGTGCCTTTGTCGCCAAAACTTTCATGCTGAGAACCAAAAATTTTAGGCAAAGCCACATTTGTTTCAAATAGAAAGTAGACCATTGTTTCCATGATTCTTTCAGTGGTAAGCTTTAAAATCTGTCCACATCATTACTTCTGCAGTGACTTTGAAAAGACCTGCTTACTAAGCAGGTATTAATTTTATCTCCCTTCTGAAGCTGAACTCAGCACTGGTTGACATTACTTTACACTTATATGCCATTCCCAGACAGGAGTTTGCTGTTCAAAATAACCTGCAGCGTACCTGTAATATGAGACCATTAGGGGAAGTTCTTCTGTATACAAACGAGTACCTAATATGAAGGATGATTATCTAGCTTTGGTAACTTTCCTGTTCCTCACAGCAATAGTACCTGCCCAGTGGTGAGCCCATTTAAACCTCCATCCTTCTGCATGTCTGTCTCTGCAGATCAGATCTCACCCCCAGTTCGCTGACCTCTGCCAGAGGACCACTGCTGCTTCCTGCTGCCCCAGCTGGACTCTGGGGAACTACATCGCCATTCTGAACAACAGATCATCCTGTCAGAAGATCGTTGAGCGAGATGTCTCTCACACACTGAAGCTGCTTCGGACCTGTGCCAAACACTACCAAAACGGCACCCTAGGGCCAGACTGCTGGGACATGGCAGCCAGAAGAAAGGATCAGCTCAAGTGCACCAATGTGCCACGCAAATGTACCAAGTACAATGCTGTGTACCAGATTCTCCACTACTTGGTGGACAAGGACTTCATGACCCCAAAGATGACTGACTACGCTGTGCCAGCTTTAAAATACAGCATGCTTTTCTCCCCCACAGAGAAGGGGGAGAGCATGATGAACATTTACCTGGACAACTTCGAAAACTGGAACTCTTCGGATGGCATCACCACCATCACCGGGATCGAGTTTGGCATCAAACACAGTCTGTTTCAAGATTATCTTCTCATGGATACTGTGTATCCTGCCATCGCCATTGTGATTGTCCTCCTAGTCATGTGTGTCTACACCAAGTCCATGTTCATCACACTGATGACCATGTTTGCCATCATAAGTTCCCTGATCGTCTCCTATTTCCTCTACCGCGTAGTGTTTAACTTTGAATTCTTTCCTTTTATGAACCTCACCGCTCTCATCATCTTGGTCGGAATTGGAGCAGATGATGCCTTTGTCCTGTGCGACGTCTGGAACTACACCAAATTTGACAAGCCTCACGCGGAGACTTCAGAGACGGTGAGCATCACCTTGCAGCACGCCGCCCTCTCCATGTTTGTCACCAGTTTTACCACCGCTGCTGCCTTTTATGCCAACTACGTTAGCAACATTACAGCAATTCGATGCTTTGGGGTGTACGCGGGGACGGCGATACTGGTAAACTATGTCTTGATGGTCACCTGGCTTCCAGCTGTTGTTGTTCTGCACGAGCGGTACCTCCTCAATATCTTTGCTTGCTTCAGAAAGCCCCAGGTGCAAGGGTATGACACCAAGAGCTGCTGGACGGTGGTCTGCCAGAAGTGCCACAAGGCACTTTTTGCCATTTCAGAGGCATCTCGAATCTTTTTTGAGAAGGTGTTGCCATGCATCGTCATTAAGTTTCGCTACCTTTGGCTCGTCTGGTTCCTTGCCCTAACAGTAGGTGGGGCCTACATTGTTTGTATAAACCCAAAGATGAAACTGCCTTCCTTGGAATTATCTGAGTTCCAGGTGTTCAGATCGTCTCATCCTTTCGAGCGCTATGATGCTGAGTTCAAGAAGCTGTTCATGTTTGAGCGGGTTCACCATGGAGAGGAGCTCCACATGCCCATCACGGTGATCTGGGGTGTGTCCCCAGAAGACAGCGGCAACCCACTAAACCCCAAGAGTAAAGGGAAGCTGACACTAGACAGCAGCTTTAACATTGCGAGTCCAGCTTCCCAGGCCTGGATTTTGCACTTCTGTCAAAAACTGAGGAACCAGACATTCTTCTACCAGACCGATGAGCAGGACTTCACCAGCTGCTTCATTGAGACCTTCAAACAGTGGATGGAAAACCAGGACTGTGATGAGCCTGCCCTGTACCCATGCTGCAGTCACTGCAGCTTCCCCTACAAGCAGGAGGTTTTCGAGCTATGTATCAAGAGAGCCATCATGGAGCTGGAAAGGAGTACAGGGTACCATCTGGACAGCAAAACCCCAGGGCCGAGATTTGATATCAATGATACCATCAGGGCAGTCGTGCTAGAGTTCCAAAGCACCTACCTCTTCACACTGGCCTATGAGAAGATGCATCAATTTTATAAGGAGGTGGACACATGGATTTCCAATGAGCTGAGTTCTGCACCTGAGGGCCTCAGCCATGGCTGGTTTGTCAGCAACCTGGAGTTCTACGACCTCCAGGACAGCCTGTCCGATGGCACCCTCACTGCCATGGGACTCTCTGTGGCTGTTGCATTTAGCGTGATGCTGCTGACCACATGGAACATCATCATAAGCCTTTATGCCATCATTTCAATTGCTGGAACCATATTTGTCACTGTCGGGTCCCTTGTCCTGCTGGGCTGGGAGCTGAATGTGTTGGAGTCTGTCACCATCTCAGTTGCAGTCGGCCTGTCTGTAGACTTTGCTGTCCATTACGGGGTTGCATACCGCTTGGCTCCAGATCCCGACCGCGAAGGCAAGGTCATTTTCTCTCTGAGTCGCATGGGCTCTGCAATTGCCATGGCCGCACTGACCACCTTCGTGGCTGGGGCCATGATGATGCCCTCCACAGTCCTGGCTTATACCCAGCTGGGGACCTTCATGATGCTCATCATGTGTATTAGCTGGGCTTTCGCCACCTTCTTTTTCCAGTGCATGTGTCGGTGCCTTGGGCCACAGGGTACCTGTGGTCAGATTCCTTTGCCTAAAAAACTCCAGTGCAGTGCCTTTGCCCATACCTTGTCTGTGAGTCCTGGTGACAAGGGACCAAGCAAAACACATCACGTGAATGCTTATCATTTAGATCCCAGGGGCCAAAAATCTGAGCTGGAGCATGAGTTTTATGAATTGGAGCCTCTGGCATCCCACAGCTGTACCTCCTCAGAGAAGACCACGTACGAAGAGACACATATCTGCTCCGAATTTTTCAACAGCCAAGCAAAGAATTTAGGGATGTCTGTGCCGGCATCCTACAACAGTGATCTCAGCAAAAGTCCCAGAAGTGAACCCAGCTCGGCCTTGTTACAGTCATGTCTGGAGCAACACACCATGTGTCACTACTTCTCTCTGAACCAGAGATGTAGCTGCCCAAATGCCTACACACACTTCAAATACAGCCCACACTCTGGACAGCAGATGGGGGACCCTTTGTGCCACCAGTGTGCTTCTGCTGCCAGCAGCTTCGTGCAGATTCAGAATGCCGTGCCACCTCTGAAGGCCACACAGCAGGCTGCTGAGGGCTTCGTGCATCCCATCCCACACATCCACTGCTGTCCCTGCCTGCAGGGCAGAGGGATGCCACCCGGGATGCAGAATTCTCTGCCTAGGAATTGTTTCCTCCACCCAGTGCAGCACATTCAGGCCCAAGAAAAACTTGGCCACACCAGTGTACACAGTCTTCAGAGCACAGACGAGCATCTTCCCAGGACAGTGGAGTCATCGCCGCCTGTGTGCAGAAGCACTGGGTCTTTACTAAGAGCTTGTTGCGATCCTGAGAATAACCAAAGGGGACTCTGCAAAAGTAGAGACATGGGAGACACAGAGGACAGCGGAGGGAATGAAACCAAGGTCTCTAGTTTACCAAACCAGACAGGCAGGGCAGAGGAAAAAGCAGAGCCAAGCTTGTCGCAGACTGATGTAATTGCGAACTCAGAACATTTAAATCATAGTGAACCAAAATTTCTATTTAGCCATTTACTCGGGGAGGCTAGTTATAGGTCTTGTCCAAACAATCCACAAAGCTGTGGCAGAATTGTGAGAGTGAAGTGCGGTTCTGTGGACTGTCAGATTCCAAACCTTGAAGCCAACGTGCCTGCTGTACTAACACACTCAGAACTGTCTGGTGAAAGTTTGTTAATAAAAACACTATAATAAACCTAGCATTACACTTAAAACCAGTGCCTCCATCGTCCTTTTGAAATGGGAGTAAAATATAGAAGCTTAGAAGGGAGGCTAAAAATACAGCAACGGGCATGTTCTCACCTCATCATAAATTCAGAATATTTTCATATTCCATTTGAACAATGGGCAAACTCACAAATCTAGTAAGTGTAGAATTATTGGATTTTCAATTTTTTAATATCAAAAAGTGGTTCTTTACATTTCTAGCCAGCCTGGAAGAATAACGGTCTCCTTCTGAGACAAGTTGAAAGTCCAGTTCTCTCACGTGGTTCCCTGATGCCTAATTTACTGTGGTGCATTGGTTGACGGTAATCAAGACTTCATTGCTCAACATAAATACTAGGACTTAACCATGTGTTAATAGAGCCCCTTGGGTTTGAATCCAGGAACTAGGCAGCATTAAATGTATTTTTAGTGATTCCTCATTTACAAATTAATGTCAAGCACTTTAATAGTACGTTCCACCTGTTTTCTGAGTAGACTGTTCATGAAGCCAATAATACATTTATGTCCAAATGAGTCTTCCCACATCAGTCAAATGTACAGTTGTTACTACATCTCCTAACCTAGGACTCAAGGACATCACCTTGTGTCATGATTATATTAGTGCCACAGAATGAGAAGGATGAAGAGATGAGATTACCCATATAGTACTGTACTGCAGAGGGTACATACATCAGATGTGGCCTGGCCTCCTGAAGCTTTCTGAGTATATGTGTTGCCTACATCTTTGGCCCTAAGAGGCCATGTTTATAAGGCTTCTCTCACCTGTGCCCAAGACATGGTAGGCTGACTTCACCATGCAGCTAACTTGGAAATGCTAAGCCTTTGGGCAGCATCTTAAGTGGTGCCATGTAATGCGATAGATCTGTCTGCAATGAAGAAGCTGTTGCAGTGTGCCCTGTGAGTGCTACTTCAGATGATACAGCCCCTGCATAGCATGTCATCCTACACTGGGTATATGACAGTCCATTCAGGGAAAACCCACTGCATACTGTCCCCTCCTGGGGTTCTACCTCCAATTCATTCCTCTGAAGAACCTAGTAAGAATATTCCTAAACACAGGAAGAGGGTTTTTTTCTTTGAAAAATCATAGTGGCTATTTTCTAAGAACAGTTTTCTAAAATAGATCTGCATATTATCCTAGGGCCTGGGAAAAAAGCTATCAAGAGCTGGAAGGGGTTTTATGAATCGCTAAATCCAGCTCCCCTGCAAAAGCACATCTTTGTTACGTAGCTTTTCGATGTTTGCTTGAATACTTCAGTGACAGGTGACTTACTGTGCTTTCCTTGGTTGAACCAGTCTGTTCTATTGGTCTTCGTCTAGTCTTTGAAGTAAATGCAGACATTTCCGCTCTCTGCCATGTGGTACCCCTTCAGATTCTTAAAAGCAGTCGTCATGTCCTTCCACCTGCACCCCCAGCTCGCTCAGTTGTTCTTCACTTTATTGGATGGAACATTCATGATCTTCTCTGGATAAGCTCCAAGTGTGGTACCCAAAACAGACTAGTTATGCCACTGCATGGGACCTGGCCCCCAGGAGACCAGATGCCCCTGTTGGGTCTCTTAGAGATAGATGTACTGTTTGGATCAACATTACAGTCAACTGTGTAGTTTAGAGAAATCAGCTAGGCCTCTAGCACACGGACTGCTTCTGAACTGTTCTTTAAAGCAGATAGTTTCTCACTGAAGTTTCAGGAGCATCAGTTCAACCCTACTGCATTTAAATCTCTTGAATAGGTAAGGGGAAGTAGGAGGAGATGGGAGCACATGAACACAGGACTTGGTGCCCCACCAGAGTGTCTTGTTTTCCTTCTGAAATGTGTAACCATGGGGTTGCCTAGTGAAAATCTAGTGGTTCCACAGCACTTTTTGGTTGCACATGGACACAGCTTTAATTGAGGGCAATAGAAGACACAGATTTCTCTACATACAGCGAGTCTGATATGGAAGACTTGTGTGAGTGGTTCATTTGATTTGGAAAATGGAAACTGGAATGAAGGCAGGGAGACACTCATATCTTCTCCACAGGGCCTCCCCCAGGCCTCCATGTTGTATTCTACCAGCTGTTCCAGCAAGGGCCTCCAGTGGCCTTGGCCCCTCCCCAGCTCTCAGATTAATTGTCCTGAGCTTTGAGCCTTGAACCTGGCACATTTTCTTCGGCTGCAGATGTAGTCTTTGAACTCCCTGGTTTTCACAAAGGTTTGCTTTTTGTTTGTTTGATTGGTCAGTTGGGTTGGTTTTGGTTTTGATTTTAGTTTTTTATTTTATTTGAGAATTCACATGCTGCAGATTCAAAGCTTTAAAATATTTTTAATTCCTACTGTGCAGCAAAGGATCACTATTTCTAGTTCATTTTTACAAGGAAGGTTACTAGATCAGACTCTTCTAGATCATGCATGAAGCAGGCTGACTTACACCACGGTACCTCTCATCTTGAAGTGCTTGTAGCACAGAAGGGGTTTGTGTGGCTTTGCTATGTCTCCCACAGTCTTCACTTTTGAGGGTTGAGTCCATGTTACTAAATTTGGTCCTGACCTTTCCCCTGCAAGGTCACTTTAAATCCCCATTTGATTGAGAGGTGGACTTGGCCAAAGGCCAGACATTTTTCACGAGGAGAGGCTTATTGTTTGAAGTAATCTCACAGCTGCATCAGTGCGTGTTCATTTCTGGTGTGTAATTGCTGAGAGACGCACATCCTTCTAAAACAATATCCTTTAAAGATAATTCTAAGCTGTTGTTAAATTTTAATTTCAATAATCTATGCCCCAGCCGCGATCATTCTATATTTAAAAGCTTTTGCAAGGGGCTTATGTAGAGCGCTTTTGCAGATGTGGCTACAAGTGGTTAGGAAACAGGCCTGGCTGCCAGGCCTCACCTGGAAACCATCTTTCCTCCAGAAATTAGGATCGTTTCTGAATGGAAAAATGAGGACCAGTGACTTCAAAAACAGCTGCATCTTCTCACCTTAATGAAGAGAGTCATTTTTGAACAAAAAATAAATCTGCATTTTTAAAAAAGGAAAGAAAAGGAATGGTTTGAGGGTTTTTTTCCCCCATAAGGTTTGGGCACAGCAAAAAGGAACTTTTGAAATCATGAGATTTTTTTTTGTTTTTAAATGCAGCAAAAGCTATCCTGTCTAAATGCTAATGCCACATGTATCTTTCCAAATGTTTTCTGGTATTTAATTTATCTCCAGTTTTTACAGTGCTTTTTGTTGTTGTTGGCCACTTTGTTTATGAATATGAGTGTATTGCCTGCATGTATGTAAGTGTACTCGTGTCATGCCATGCCCACGGAGGTCAGAAGAGGGTGTCAGGTCCCCTGGAACTGGAGTTATAGACCCTTGTTAGCCCCACTTTGGGTGCTGGGACTGAACCCTGGTCCTCTACAAAAGCAGTCAGTACCTTAACCACTGACCCATCTCCCCAACCCCAGGACCATGTTCTTGAATCAACTGAAGTAGCTAAACTTAGGTGTTAACTCATTCTAATCTTAACTGTTTTTCATGTATCTATAATTGAATGTATACCTTTCTTAAAAGCAAATGACAGATTATTTTCAGCAAGACATTTATCTTTGGAATAAATGAGGTTCTTACAAGAACTTCTTTTGAGACAAAGTAACAGTAAAATGTGTGCAAGTTTTATCTGCCAATTATCTGCCATTTTTGTGTGTTTTGTTTTGCCATGCTAGAGTTTAATGCTAATTAGACATTTAAAGGAGAAAGGCTTAACTAAGTAAACTGATAATCTAAACAGGATTCCAAAGCCTGCCAAAGAAAACAAACCTCTTGAATTTAAAACTTACTGCTTTTTACAGTGTACTATGGTAATTAAAAATCTCGTTATTAAAAAAATGGTCCAGTAGGGTTTTCTCTAGGTGAGGGTTTAAGTGCTGGTTAAGAATGGTGACACCACATCTGTTTGCATGCAGCCTTAACGTGGTCTTTTGGGTGCTCTCCATAACACCATCACTCTACTGGGGAAGCACCCTGGTCTGCAGGGTGTCATTTTGTTTCTTTGTCTTTTGTTTCTCTGTCCTAACAGCCAGCTTAATTCACTCACATCTTGGAACAAGCTGTACTCTCTTGGTATAAGTTTCTCTTTTCAAAGCAATCTGAGGAAAGGTTTTGGGGAATAAGCAAGTCTCCGACTATGTTGGCTGAGACTGAAATTCGCTGGCGTCTGATTTGTCTAGACCTTGGGCTCTTCTACTTCCTTTTAGCGTGTATAGTTGTTGATCATTTATATATACGGAGAACAGATACATACTGAATAATCTTGAACTTACATGGTTCCTTCCCAGATCTCAACTTGAATTTCTTTGCTCCACCCTGGGCTCTGATGGGCAGGTGAGGGGACTTCCTCCAGTGGATCTCTTCACTGCCAATGAGGGAAAACACAGGGCACTGTAATAAGTATCTACTTGCCACCATTGGAGAGGAAGCAGAGATTAGAAAGCCAAACTGAAGAAAAACCCAACCATTCCTGTAGACCAGTGTGGTTCAGAAAACCAATTCAGGCATTGATCCTGCCCTGGATACATTCACCTGGAGACCCCGTGCAGTGGAAGGGTGGCTTCTGTGGTCTCTGAATATTGGTGTCGTCTTCCAGGCTTGGGAGAGTCAGGCTGGTGAGTCTTTTGAAGCATTTCTTTCAGCCAAACTGAAAGCAAATGACAGGTCACTCCACCTGCTATGTTTCCTTAGATTGGAGCAGAAGGATGCCCCCTGCCTTTGCCTTCCCAGGACATTAGAGCTCACCAGCACCTGGCTGTGCTGGTGACAAAACTTGACAGAAAGTCCACTTCATTTGAGCCCAAAGGCTCTGCTGGTGACAAAGGGCTGTTGCTTTCAACAAGACTACTGACTTTTTTTTTTTTCTTGTCTTTTTGAGACAGGGTCTCCCTGTAGCTCCAGCTGACCTGGAGCTTGCTATGTAGACCACACTGGCCTTGAACTCACAGAGATCCACCTGCCTTTGTCTCCTGAGAAGAAAGGCTTTGCAGACTGAGTAA